GGGACTCGATCCTGGGACTCCAGGATCATGACCTGAGCCGAAGGCAGTCGCTTAACCAACTGAGCCACCCAGGCGCCCAAGAACTTTTCTTTTTTAAAGCCCATAAATATTTAAACACATCTTTTAAAAATGAAAGTAGGGAAGGAAGTGGCTAAAATAATATGCAAAGTAAGAGTAAACGTACATGATGCACACTTTTAACCTGGCAGTGAACTAAGCAGATGGAAGGCCTGTACTTATGAAATGTGAAGTGATTTTCCTTGAACTATTAAACCAATATAAGGAGAAGAGAAAACCATGCAGCTCATTATCAACTCTGGAAAAAGTCTTTGGACCACTTTGCTTCCAGGTGATGAACATCCATGAATTTTTTTGTCCTTGCCATTATAAATACAAGATCTTTGTTAAAAAGTTAGCCTATGGGGAAGAAAGCAACCTCTGGAAAATTCGTGTTGAAGATCCCAGACAGGATGATCTAAATGTGATTTTATAATGAGTACCTTTTGAATTGAAATACAAGACATTTCCTAATTCTGTTGTCCTAGATGGAGACTGGATTAACACGTTCCCTTTGGATCCTGATGAACACGAGCAGTTGAGTAATAGGACTTTCGGGAAGGGATTCTCCGCTACTGCAGTAGTCCAGCAGCCCAAGGAGCTTGTGATGAAGGCTGTGGTCTTTAACATCCTCGTGACCAATTCAGTTTTTCCTGAGAGCCTTTCGTAAAAAAATAGACATCTGTACGTGTGTGATTGTCGCGGCAGGTGCGTCAGCTGGCCACGGTGCGCCGGTATTCGGCGGTGCCGTCGGCTATGACGGCGTCCAGGGGAGAGCGCTTCTTCCGGATGCTGCGCCCGGAGGAGATGAGGTCGGCGTAGCCGCGCTGGTGCGAGAAGGCGTAGGCCGAGCGCCGCGAAGACACGCCCCGGCGGAACACGCGCTGCCGCCGCTTCCACTGCTCCTCGGCTTTCAACCGCTTGCGGTGCTTCTGAATCTGCAGAACCGGAGAGAGGGGCCAGGCTGACGAGGACCTCGCAGGTGTGTGAGGGCGGAGGAGAACTGGCCAGGGGAGCTGGGCGGGCGCTCACACGGACGGGGGACCTAGTCCAGGCTGTCCCCGGGGAGGCGGCATCGCCGGCCTCCTTTTATATAAAGATGAGGCAGCCCAGAGAGGTTATGGAGCACTCCCAAGGTCTCCGAACTAGAAAACGGGAGCCGACATTCCCACGTTCTCTCCCACTGACCAGTCAGACTGGGACAGGTTCAAGAGAAAACCCTTGTTGCTCCTGCATCTTCTTGTCAGTGGAAAAGGGCGGTCTAGGGGATGCTGAAGGTTGCCTGCCCAACATCCTCTCCTTCCTGATGAAGACGGAGTTTACTCAAGTACCCCTTTCATGCATATAGCCACATCCCTCCTGAGGTGTGGACAGCGCTCCCAGGAGCAGGACCAGGGGACTTGCCTTGCTCAGCACCGGCCAGGTGACCTGGTCTGGCTAGAGAGGCCTGCGAGAAGTGGACAGGGCCCTCCCATGCCCAGTTCCCGGGCTCCTAAGGGAAAGCACCTGGCCTCCCCTGGATAGTGATGTGTCAGGAGATGCCTAGATCTGCAATGGCCAACCCCCAGCTCCAAGCTGAAGCTATAATGAGGTTAGCAGAGGGGAGCGATGGAAAGAACCCTAGGCTTTTTTTGACAGACATTAAGGTGCTCCGTCACCTTAGATGACTTAAGTTGCTCAGTCACCGAAGCCCGCTAATCAGTATGCGAGCTGAAGTGATACATTATTTGAACAACTTGTAGCTCAAGAGGATCCTGCCAAAAGAGGTGGCATTTTTCTTTAAATGAAGAAAAACCCCAACTCTTTGCAGGGGAAAATGTTAATATTATAATTGTTAAATTGAGGGGATGGGGTTCATTTACTACTCTCCCTTTGTTAATGTTTAAAATAAAAAGCACACAAAAATCCCAGTCCCACAGGACTTATTTGCAAGATGGAGTTAAAGAGAAGTAGTATTAAAAAACGTTCATACCAAACTTGCCATGGATTTAGAATTTTTCAGGAAAGCTGCTTTGGGGACAGGCTTTGCTTTCTGTGAGGGGCACTCAGAATGAGGAGAATACTATTTTTTTCTGTACCTTATCACTTTCTGATGGCCAGATGGTCATTGACAAGAACCGTATGGCAACGACGGGCAGCAGGCACACTGCAACAGTCAGGATGATGGTCAACCAAATGTATGGCTGCCTCAGGGCATTTGATGCTGTGCCTGTAAAAACACAGAGAATGAATCCCAGGGGTCCTTCGTCCTAAGGGCAGAGTGAATATTCCTTAAGCCTTAAATGATTATCTATGGTAAAGTTTCACAGATTGGCTTCCCCGAAACATCCCATCACCGCTGAAGGAATGAACATTTTAAAACAGGACTAAACAAAGCAAAATGAGGAAGGCAAATGTACATCATTGAACAACTAAATAAGGAAAAAAGAGTTTGTTGACATTGCATTAGGTAAACATGCAAAGTTAGGCAATCTGTACTTCTACATTTTTCCAGGAATTTACTTTCCAATTTATAGTTTTAGTTGGAAACTCCAAATAACAGTAGCAACTTGCACCACCATTAGTATGACAGACCTCATGCTAGGTGTTTTATACAGGTCATGCCATTTAATTACCTCTGAGGAATGAAGAGTATCCTCCTTGCCACACATGGAAATCGAGTTGTGGAGAAGTAAAAAGATTTCCCAGGGTAACAGAACTAGCCATGGCAACTCCTGAATTAAACCCCATATCCATCTGTATAGAGCCTCGCTTTTTCCACCGTATTTGGTAGTTAATGTCAGAGAACATAATAATTCATACAACCAGACCATCATATATAACTACCCAATTTTAAAATATTTATAATTAACATCCCCTAAAGCCAAATCTATCACAGTATTCTCTGTACTTACACTTTAAGTTTATAAAAGTAGTGGCCTTTATTTTTTAAATGTGTTTTTACACTGCTAAATAAAAACAGTCCCTTTGGGAATATTCTAAGTAACTGGGTACTAAGTTTTTTAAAACAGTCAGTAAAAATAATCATCAAAAAAATGAACTCAATTCCAAGGGTTACCATAGCAACTGTCTTTTTACAACTGGCCATAAAAAAAAAAACCAAAACAAAACAAACTAATCTTTTACACGGAAACTAGTTTCTGGGGACTTTTCTCCCCATTGTGAATCCAAGCTACTCTATTTAATAAACTAAGAAATTTGTAAATTCCAATTCATGATATTTTAAAATTTATACTATGAAATAGTTCAAATTCATTCTAGCATTTGTCCTATTTTATACAGCTGTAAACTGTTTCTAAACTATTTCTGTTTAAGTTTACTTATTGCTCTGCATACATTTTTCTAACGATGTGGCAAGTTTTCCACTTTTGAGTTCTAAAATTTCATCATACGGGACTCAACCTTGATTAGCTAGTATTCTTATTAGGTCTTTGAATTATTTCCATTTTTAAAAAACAATTAGAATTGCGGTGGTATAATCTTTGTACAAACTGACTTTTCCAAAAACTGGTATGTTTTATCTTTAGGTATTTTCTCCAAGTGGAAATCCTGGGTCCAAATGTGTGAGAAGTTTTATAGTTTGTTATATATTTCCAGATAGTGCTTTGGAAACATTATATTATCATGCTACCAGCAATACGTCCATACTCAATTTCCCAGCAACCCACCAATATTAGATTTGGGGGCGGGGGTCCCGTCTAACTGAACAGATGCACAATTATATCAAAGTTTTTAATTTTGCTTTCTTCCTGTTACATTACCACACTTCCAGCCCAGCCATCATTCAGGTGCCAGTCAGGACATTAATTTTCATTAGCAATAACTTACTTTGTGTTTTTACTTAGAAGTTATGTCAGAATCTAAACTAGTAACATTTTTCTATACCTTTATTTTTGAAATTTAGAAAATACCAACCTGTAAATTGAAATGCAGATGGAAAGAGAACATGTATTCCAGCACTATGAAAGTCAAACATTATGCCAAAATAAAGTGCAATGCTTCCAAAAATTGAAAAAGCATTCACAAAAGTCCAATAAGAAGTATCCAAGCCAATCTGTAAAACCAGAGAAAAAGCATTCATTTTGGGGAGTTACCAAGAAATAAAGGATCTAGATTCTGAAAATAGAATGCAACAATTTAGGCATGATTTGGCTTGAATACTGAACAATCAGGAACTATCCTTGGCTCAGGCGAGAAGTAGGAAATGTGCTCAGCGTAAGGGGTGAAGATAACAGTCATATTTTGTAAAGCGGCCGAGGCTCAGTGGGAGGGAGAGTGGGGGCCAGGTGGATGTGCACACTGGTCTATATACAGAAACACAGGTAAGTGACAGATACTGAAAACAGTTGACAGAAGCCATGTACCTGGAAATTGACGGTTATTATAAGAGCAGAAGCAATGGTCACAGCAAAAGATTGGTAGTCTGAAGGTGCCTCTCCATCCTGTCCCACAGTTTGCAGATAAGCTCCCAGAGGTATGAAGAAGAGGATCATCGATGTTAAAATTCCATGCACCAGGCTTACAAAGAACTTCTTATAGTTGAATAGTAAGTCTCTTTGTCCTACTACGTACAACCCAGGGAAGCGGAGGCTCAGTTTGTCACTCACATCCTTAAGGGTAAAAACACAATTAGTTATGGACCATCCAGGATCAAAGAACTCCGAGATCCATTCCAATTTATCTCTCACAGTGAGTTTCAGCTTAGTTTTAGGAAGGCAAAAACTCAACAAGGTAAGTCCTGAATGCTTTCAGTGTGCAGAGACCAATCCCTTTACTTTAGTCCACCATTATTTGCTATTTAATTAAGAGAGGGACTAGGTAGAGATCTATTACTTTGCTGCTCATAGAAGGAAAGCAAATAGTAATGTAAAAAAAAAAAAAAAAATGTAGGGAGACTATTTCTACCTCCTGGGGGAATATATTCTAATTTTTTTGGAAAGTATTTTCACATCTGAGTTGATGGGTTAATTCCAAATTATTCTTTTTATTCATTAAAGCACTTTCTCTAAGAATTGCTCCTAGATAGAATGTGGACTAATCTGGGAATTCAGCACATACGTTTAGAGAAATATTAAAATAATTTTAAAGTTATTATTGTAGAGACATACTATACTGTCAGGTGTCTTAACAAGAAACTCTTAGTGTCCAAAAGGAAGATAATAAACTCTTTTGTCCATGAATTCATCCCGGGCACAGAAATCCTCTTTTGTCCCTATAATACAGGAGGTGCAGCAGTTACTGTGGTCGCCTAACAACAGGACAGTAATAGGGTTTTCTCAGGAAGAAATTAAAACCAAAAGAATGCACTGAAGTATTTGCTTTTAACTTCTCAAACAGGTGCCCAGTCCGTCCTGAAGTGTCCCGTCAGCCCGAGGCTCCTACCTGGTCAAGCAGCCCCACGAGGAGCACGGGCAGGCTGGAGTACAGCACGTTGTAGAGCGTGATGAACCAGTCTTCGTACGCAGTCTGTGAGGAGATTACAGAGTCGCCGTGTCACAAACCAAGACCTATTGCCCGCCTAGTCAACATGCATTCATCTCTTTCGGAGTGGGGAAGGCCCCAGGCTGTGTGCAGCTTCTGCCAGAGTAAACACCCCTCATCTGCATCTGCCCAAGGTGTGAGCTAGGTTCAGTGGAATGGGCAGAATCAAAGACCGTTCCACAGAAACAAGCCTTCCTTCTAACAAAAATGGGAGAATATACGCGAAAACCTTTTTTGGAAAAGGAGTCCATTCTGTTTGAATAATGCTGGAAAATACATTGGTGCTGATCCTTTTTATATCCCTTTATTAATGAATTAGAAGACATAAAACCGAAATTGGTTCAAAAAGCACATAAGGTATCATTCAAATGTTCTTTTACTTTGCAAGTCTCACATTTCCATTTAAACATCTGTGAGGCAGAATTTGAATATGAAAAATGTGCTTCTGAAAGGGGTAAGCAGGGCTGTGCACACACCAGTCTGCAGGGTGGCCGAGAGGAGACGGGCTCACTCATCACCACCAGCTCTACACAGGCCTGCAGGGGAGCAGAAGGAAGGCCCTCACTGTGCTCAAGGCTGCTCCGGGCCCTCGGTTTCTGCGGCTCTTTTTTTTTTTTTTTTATTCTTATGTTAATCCCCATACATTACATCATTAGTTTTAGATGAAGTGTTCCATGATTCATTGTTTGTGCATAACA